ATGAATGTTGAGGTGGGTGATTGTTCTTCTTAGTGGTGTTCTTCCGAAATCCACGTAATGAAATTAACTGCATCAGCTCCAGCTAGATACAGGGCTTCACTAATATATGGGTGGCGTCCGCGCCCAATTGTTAGAGCTCCGATCATAAGAGCAGCACTGTGAGACCCTTCATCATACTCATTCTCCATTTGCCATCGTAACACAGTGTTTTCACTCTCTGCAAGCTCCGAAAATACGTGAAGAAATGCCGCAGCATGGTTGTCAGGAGTAACACGACTAACAATGTCGTAAATACGACAAAAAAATTGACCCCAAGCCAGACAATCCAACATAAATCCTCGAAAAAATACCATTGAAACTCCAAGGACTCTGCTAACGCAAATTCTCCTTCAGTTTCCAAATCTGGTCATATTCAAGGTGGTACCACGTGCCAATATTGGCATAAGGTGGGATACGCTCCAAAAGACAAATAGACAGCGATCGTCCTCTTGAAACAGCAATACCACACCCATCGAGCCATTGGTTAAGAAGAGCCACTGGATTTACTCCAAGCAAACGTAGTAGAACCTCATCTGTTCGCCTTAGGTGCCACGGAATCCGATGTAGGATTATATCAGAAAATTGAGGAAGGCAACCCTTACGCGATTCGTTGTCGGAACATTCTGGGTCACGGAGGCAAAAAGTAAAAGAAAAACTGGTGAAAACAACTGCCACGAAAATTAGATAGAATTGGACGTAAGCCTTTTGTTGAGCACTAACGGAAAGAACCACTGAAATATTTTCTGAGAAAAAGCCGTCATACCTAACGACCGAGTCTGTCCGATCCCACTACTTACGACGACAGATATTCTTTTGTTGGAGCCACCTGATTTCCCACAAACCAAAGTGCATGGGGTCCCAAGCCGCCCACAGCAGCATGGACTTCAAAGATATCCCAGTCCCAAAAAACTACAAGTCGCCCCTGCAGCGTCGAGACGAAAGACCTAACGACGCAAACTACCGCGTGCTTGCCACATCGGATGATAAGACTACACTACTGACGATATGTATCATGACCACACTAGGGGACTTACGTTTGCTTCTTGTGCGTGTAGCGTTCAAAGAATTTGTTGCCGAGAAACCCACAACTACTGAGAATGTCCAGATTTTCGCACGATTCATTTGGAGTAGTGCACACACGGTGAAAGACGGGAGACGCCTTCTTCGCCTTCATCGGATGACCCTTTTGCTGATGAGTCTTCGGAAACGCTCTTGCAAGTAAGTAACATTCATTTTTATTAAATGATTAAACTAACCCATACTGATTTCAGCGATACAAGGACAGCTACGAACACAACCAATACGGCGTTGATCAAGACCTCATCACAGCAACTATCTTTGATGCAGAAAATAATACGGAAGGTCTACCAGCTGCTGGACAAAAGGTTAAATTTACGCGATTTTGGAGCCCTAAGCTGTATCGCGAAATATGTTGCCAGCTCACTACAAAGATCGAGAACCTAGTCTTTCATGGGAACGATACTAATGCGTCCTCCACTACAAACGATCACACGGATTTACCTGGCCAATCAGAAAATGATTCTGATGTTGTCAAAGTAGAGACCACTCCAAGTTCCCCCGTGGCTCCCAGAAAAAAATTTCGAAGAGAGATTTACGAAATCGGACTGCATGAATGGTACGCCTGATGTCCACAACAAGAAGCCCAAGCCAGCTTGAAGAGTTTTTCGTCAGTCTATCTACCAGTGGTTGCGTGCACTCAAAAGAACTACCAAGCCAGCTTGAAGAGTTTTTCATCAGTCTATCTACCAGTGGTTGTGTGCACTCAAAAGATTTAACCTGCCAAAACTCAATTTTGTCCACAAAACTCAGTTTTAACTGCGACCAAAACACAATCTACTCAAAATAATATTATATCAAAAAAATATTTCGTATTCCCAGCGTAGTCATAGACGTCCTAGTATCTTTAAACAATTTGTTTTTGTTTACAGGTATGGATACCACGAGTAGATGGGCCCAAAGAGCTAATGTCGAGCAGTCTTAAGATAAAAATGCATTATATTAAAGAAGACTTGGAAAGGCAATGCCATCCACAGGTTCTATACATTCCTGCTGGCTTCAGCGGTCTGAGCCAGCCCATGGACGTCAGAGTAATGCGCTCATTCAAATCATCTATAGAGTACGTACTGCTTTGAGCCTGATTCTTAGCGCGCTACTATCAATAACACCAAGACTGTAAATGCATCGTTATGTCGGCTATCATGCATGTAGATCGGCCGTTTTCGAAAACTCCACAAGAGCGTCACAGTATGCTGTCAATAATTGTTGTGAAGGCATGGGACCTCGTCGAGCTTGCGATTATCGTTATCGGATTCCGACGCTCGAACCTGCTTCCCTATGGTCCGCGGGATGCGCAAGGGAAATTTAGTACTTCTGCGCTGGATCCTCCTGGCGGAACAATTACTTCAACTACAGCATATTAAAGACATAGCAAAATAAAAAAAACGTTTTTTTTCTTTCACTTCGGGAAACAAGTTTAATGAAAATAAGGGAGGGCGGTCAGCAATATTGAAAGAGAGTGAATGCTCGATTGTCAAAGCCAGACGCAGCGTTTTAACATACCCACAAAAATCTATCGTCTGATGTATAGCATATACTGAGCGTATACTTCCGCTCCGCCACTCAAATCATTCAGAAAGAAAGCGGAGGAAGGGGGATCTGGTGCGTGATCTCCTAGTGAAGGCCGTCGTACGACCTCCGCTGCCGGCCGCGCGTCTCAACCTGTGTGTTAAGGGAGCTGTTGACCCCTCTGCGAATTCTCAGTCGTCGCTGCACGTGTCCAGCGATGAGGAGTGGCTCGATTCCGCCGTCGAGACCAGCAGTAATACCAGCGGCCAGTCCAAGCAAGGGCGATCGGGGGGATTGGCGTATCCTCGGAGCACTCGGAAAGGGTCGGACGATGACCACGGGCTGGATGTGCAAGCGCCCCTCTTGGACCGACTGGAGTTCAAGTCGTGGGAGGACCTCGAGCGGTATCGGGGCGAGTACTCGAAACGCACGTACCAGGTAATGACTCCCATTTTGCGTTTTAAGCTACAATGCTAACTTTAAGTGCTGTGTCTGCAGGGCTTCCGCGTTCGGACTAATAATACCATCACTGCGCGCAACAACAAGTCCGATCGTCGGGTTCAAAGCAGCCTTTACTTTGTGATGAATGAAAGAATTACGGCAAGACGTCCACTTGCACGCATGGGGGGACATACAAGTCCCGCGGAAAAGGGAAGAGAAAGAGGATCCAGTCAAGAGCAATGGAGTGTAAAGCGCAAGCACGGTGGCTGTTCAGTTGGGATCAGTTGGTCTTTATAAAACTTAGTTGGGCTGAGTTGGTGTCAGTCGTTTGGGTTCGTGCTAATTTGGTAATGTTTTATTTTTTCAGATAAATGCATGCGTTCAAGTTGAAACGATAAGGTGACTTGTGCTATTATTTTGAACTGATTGAGCTCATATGTATGCTGTATTATATGGACAAGATTTGTCTGCAAAAGAGTGTTTAGCCAAAGATGTAATGGGCCTTGTGCTGTCAAAGAAATTTGCGGACGACCCCTAGTCAGTTTTGAAGCTGCCACATTAGGTGCTCTTGTAGATGGAAATGTGGGAGCCGCAAAAGAAAACATCCGCAGTAAATTGTCAGGGCTTACGAAAGAGAAGATAATCTTCCCCATAAAGTGCAATGGGACCACCGGTGCGCAGTCAGGATGAACCTCGGGAAAGGCAAGGTGGTGATCTACGATTCCGGCTCGTCATCCTACTTGCTGAGTGTTCGGTCCATCGCCCAAATGCTGCTATTACTACTACCAGACGGCGCGAGGCCGAGGCGACGTGTGCAAACGTACGAGTCCGGACTTGGAGTGCAAGTGGACAGCCACAACTGCGGCGTCTACGCCCTACTCGCCTTCAAAATGTTCCACGAGGCCGAGCTGCTTGGACATCTCGACAAGAGGACTCTGCAATGTCTTCGCTACCGATACCTTCGTATCTGCATGGATGATTAAGAAAGAGGTGGTAGTCACTCAGCTCACTAAGCGAAATACATTTGTTAACATGAAGTATTCATCTCGAGGCTGTTATACAAGAATGTATAAGAAGACAGACCACATGCGTCATCACGGCAGCATTGTTTGTACGGTCAACATGAAGTTGCAACGATTCCGCGCCAAAGTGCTGCTCAAAGCACATTGAAATCCGAATCCACGTCATCAAAATCAAAGTCTGTCGACATCCGGGTATACGCCTCCGATGTATACTTTCGAAACTGGCTTTTTTGAGTTGGGGGGGGGATGCCGATTGGACGCAGTTTAGGCGTCTGTCGGGCACTGGATGGGCGTTGGGGGGGGGGGGGGGCGGGGCAACAGGCCCCTCTCCAAATAATCAGTTCCGCGGGCCATATTGAAATGACCTGGTGTATTTCGCTCGGTTGGCTGGATCCCGCTGTATTTTACGTTATGATTTAATATAAAGGGGTATATGAAGTACAAGCTACGCTTTTTCAGGGGGAGGTCCGATAAGAAAATCATTTCGCTTGTTTGTGGCGCAGTACATGTATTACTACAGTATTTGCATGGAAAAGGAATTTGTAAAACTTATAGCCTCTGACACTGTATCCTCAAAGGTTTTTGAAAACACACGATTTGGAACCTCTATCAAGATTATACCTAAAAAGAATATTTCAACCAGGACGCTAACGCAAAAAACTGGACACTATTATTAATAAAACATACGGTAATGACAAGGCAAAACGTGCAGCGGTCAATACCGGTATATGTACACCGATACTACATGTATTAATAGAGCTCGACAGTGCGTTGGTGACTCCATCTCCAAAGCACAACAACACATATACCAGCATCTACACCGACTGTGTATTTCCACGCCTTTGAATTAGACGCCACATCAAGTTTTTTAACGCATTGGCTGCTGAGTCACCATGTACCCTTCAGCTCCATTTAAGCTCGACGACGCTTCGTTGCACACGTAGATTTGTGGGAAGTCGTAGCCACTGGATCGAAGTCCTTGGCCACGCTTCCTTGGCCGCCAGTTTGTTGAGTGTTGTCTTCCGCTTTGATTCCTTGGTTAGCGGGCGCCGGCGAGTCTCCGTTGTTACTGCCACTGTCAACTCTGTTCTCCAGACCATTTGAACCAGCCTTGTCATTCTCGTTCTGAGGCGCTTCCTCCTTCTGACTTCCATTTTGATTTGCAACGGGAGCAGGGTCCTCCTGCTTTGTGTTCGTATCGGATTTAGAACCATTGGCCTCGTTCACTTCTCCCTGTGACGGTGAATCGCCTAAGGAGCCAACACCGAAGTTATCGGTCGACTCCGATAACTGCGCAGCCTTAACCGGTTTGTATCCCGTGATCGCCTTGTACTTCTTCACCGTCTCCAAGGCTCGATCTCCATTCACCGAGGCAAACTTGCCACTCGTCTTAGCCGAGTTAGCGGGACACGACCGACCCAATGACGCACTGCAGTCGTCCGCCACTGAGATGCTCGCTTTCTCCGCATCAGCCTGCATGGGCTCCACCGTGCCCTCGAAGAAGTTGCCTTCAGCCAGAACGAAAGCGATCTCTCCGGGCTCGAACGAATGACCCGAGTTGTCGGACCAGAAGTTGTTGGCAATATGCGCCACCACGTTTGCACTGGGACTCGACGCGCCGATGATTTTTGGTGAACGACCCGATGTCGAGTGGATGTAGTTGTTAAGAAAGCTCACACGCGTGGTGGTGCCGTCCAGAATGAACCCCCAGTAGTGGCGACCGTCACATGAACTCGACCAGTCGTTGCGACCGTCGAAGTCCGAGTTACTGATCGTGATGATCTCGACGCCATCAAAACCGCTAACGAACATCTGCCGGCCAACACGCGATACCTTGACGTGATCGATCCAGATTTTCTTCAGCGCTCGGTCGTCAATTCCTCCCAGATACATGGCATCTCCTCTCCACACATACTGCGGGTTGAGCTCAGTGATGTGGATGTTCTGGATGATGATATTGTCGCCTTCAAGCTTGAGTCCTTTACCTTTGAGAACACCCTTCTTGCCTACTCCACGCAGCGTCTTGTTACTGCGAACGGAAAGCATTTGCTTGTTGGCGTTGTCGTATGTGATCTCCACCTTCACTTGCTGGTCACACCCTCCTGTGTGGGTGAGCGTGGTGTCATCCGGGAAGAGAATCACGTCCTGGCCCTTGAAGCCGTTGTTCTTGGCGAGACACTCAGTGTTGGACTTGGGTCGACATCCCGTCTCGGTAGTGTTCCCTGCAGAGCCGAGGAAGTTAAATTCCTTGTCAAGCACGACCACACGCGGCTGATCGTCACCGAGGAGTTTTTCTAGTTCCTCGAGGGTTTTGGGATGGTCGGGTGTTGCGTCGCCTCCTCCGGTGGTGCCGACAGCGAAGCCCGGAACATCTCCGGTGGTGACACTTTGGACAATCGACTGGACAGTCAATAACGCCCATGTGACGGTTGCAAGTAAAGCTACTTGACGAGCCCTCATAATTGTCGCTCGGCGATATAGCAAATACCGACTTCACGGCAGACTCAAAAATGAAGACCGACAATCCTGACTGACGATATGTTTACAGTATATCGTGCTGTTGACGATGCACAGTGATTACGCGGGTTTGAAATGATTGCCAACAGTAGCTGTACCGACATTACATGTACAGTACAGACAATCCTCTTTGAAGTGATATCTCAAACAGTTTTATCCCTCTAGTTAAGGTGGTTGGAGTAGCTTACAAAAAAGTGATACGGTTATTAATTTCTAGTGGCCCTTAACTAAAGAGAATATTCGTTTTGAGCTACGTCAAGTCTGTATGCAACTGCCTTTCACCTAGTGCTCTAAGAGCAAACCGCAGCGGTGGTATTATGGAGGGTCCACCTTTTTTGGAACCAATATGCAGGAGATATCGATTTTAGTGCCTATAGCTGTCGAAGTGGGTCGTATACAGCTTGGGCTTAGGAGAATTGGCCTCGATCCTAAGCCGTATACATGTACAGCCCAGCAAAAGTTATATTTGTCTATTTCGACCCCGCCTGCGATCCAACTCAGTGGGCTCGTCTAAGACTACTTTCTATTCTGGCAAACTTAGCAGCTCTTCGATGGACATCAGATATTTTGCAAGCGGGACATCGTCACGGCAAACATGGTGTCCTCCTCTTCAAGACTCTTATATCGACAGAATTTGCAGTCCAGAAGACCCTGCAGTTTACAAAAAAAGTGTAGAATTCCAGAGCTCCACGCTCTGTATAGGGGTTTGGCGCACGCTCACGCTGTACTAAGTACAACTTTGCAGTCGTGGCTTTGTCTATGGAATTGTTGTGAATTCAGTATGCTCTGCAAGTTGAAGCAGCACTCGCATTGGAGCAGCCTCCCACAGGAGAGGCCCGGCAAGTGTCCCGTGAGTGAAGGTCGCTGGGGTTTCTCACGTTGTATTTACATTTAGTTAGCTCAATCTCCATTTTGCAGGGTAAGAAACGCGTTAGTGTCAAGAGAGCTGAAGGCTAAGTAGTCAATAGGAATTCGTGTGTGCATTACATTGGATTCCTAGCTTACGTCGAGAAGTCTCTGCATACGCGTAACAGGGTTATGAGCCCAAGCTGTCAGTAAGGACAGTTGTGAGCACTCTGAAAATCCAAGATGTAAAACATGGTTGAACTCAACAAGAACGGACGCCCTATCGGCTGGCATGGCCAATGCTGGGTGTACTACAAGCAAATGATGGAGATCGCGTTCGAGGACAAGAACGTTCTCGAGTACGCGAGTGGAACCAAGACGTTGGCCTCCAACGCGACGGACGAAGAGAAGTCGAAGTTCAAGGAGGGCCAAGTCAAGGTGAAGCAGATCATTATGTCCTCGCTGTCGATGGAACTCGGACAGCAGGTCATGATAAAGAAGCCCGGTACAGAAATGTGGAAGTACTTGATGGATACGTACGAGGGTACGGCGAACGCGGCGACCCGTACGAACCAAGAGATCATTCTGTACAACAAGCTTCAAGCTGCTAAATGTAAGCCGAACTGGGATGTTCGTCTACATGTTAACAATATGTTCCTGATAAAGGAGCAGCTTGCTGCTATCAATGCTGATGTAAGAGATCCGATCTTCATAAACTTGTTGATTCGGTCTTTACCGGCAAACCCACGATTTGATCGCCTGAGAGGAATGGTCGAAATCGGAACCAGTGAGGTGGATACTCCTGAGAAACTCAAGGACCAGATCCTGCGAATGGACAGTTACAACAAGTGTGATAAAGAGCTTGGAGCTACTGGTGGCAATGGTGCGCACAACCAAGGGCAAGGACAAGGTCAACGAGCAGGACATAATCAAAAGCAGCGTTCTGGCATCAGTACGAAGACTGAGTTACCAGAAAAGGCGGCTGCTATCGCGACCAAGAAGTTGGATCAGCAGCAGAGCAACTGCTTCAGATGCCATCAACCAGGTCATCAGCAAAAGGATTGCCCGAAGAAGTCGCTGACGTCTACAAATGCGCCGAAGGTCAAACAAGCCACGTACACTAAGCGTCTCGAGAAAAGCGAGAACCCCAAACAGTCGGTGGCTCCTGTAGTGCCTGAGCAAACTTCGCAAGTTTCGGCTCCGGACACTTCCGTGGTGCCTGTTCCTGTGACGACAGCTACACCAGACATAGCGACCCCCACTGACCACGGACGGCATGGTAATAGTCCTAGAGGTAGTGATCAGCGTGATCACTGTGCTGAGGAATAGGCTAATTGGGAGCGGTGCCTGGACAACGCAGCAAATGTCCATGTAGCATCGGACCAACGCTACTTTACGGAATACAAGCCATTCTCGGACCAAAAAGCAGACAGAGTACGCGGATTTCAGAAGAAGTTTTGCGGCTATTCCGCTTGGCCATGGAACGGTACAGATTGAGGTGAAAAACAGTGGACCTGTTGTGATCCTTACTCTTCGAGATGTATTCTTCGTTCCGGACAGCAAGAATCTGCTGTCACACTCGCAGGCTGAGGACCAAGATTATGATATTGAGTATCATGGACGAAAGGGCAAGAAAGTGTACGAGCTCTGGGAGAGAGATAAAAAGCTTCTAGAAGTGGGCCGTGACCCATTTGGACTGTACACATTTTCTGCTCGGAACTCATTTCTTCCGAAGAACACCAGGGAGAACCCGAAGGTCGAGGAACAGACCTCCTCGCACCAGCCTCCGCCCCGTGTTACCATCACGGCTGCAGATGGCGCAGCTGATCTGCAGAGATGGCACGAACGACTGGGCCATCTGTGCCCGCAGTTTGTCAAGATGATGGTCGACCATGATCTTGTTACTGGTATGTTGCTGCGACAGCGTAGCTTCGCGGACTGCGAAGCATGTCACTTGGGGAAGCAGAGAAAACCTTCGCCCAAGCAGACGCTGGAGCGTGAGATCAGGCGGAAGAACCAAGTTGTCGTTGCAGACCTGTTATTTCCTCACCAGAGCTCAAGTGCCAAATTTCCCAAGGCTGTATTAGTTATAGTCGATGGCTATTCACGCTATACGACGATCTATCCGCTAAAGTCGAAGACTGCCTATGAGGTGAACACGGCCATGCGACGCTATATCGCTTGGGCTGAGCGCCTGTTCAGCAAATGCAAGGTGCTGAAAGTGATCACGGACAGTGGCAAGGAGTTCGTCAACGAGGAGATGAATCAGTGGTACCAACAACAGGGGATAGCGTTTCTGCCAAACCCTCCCCATGGTTCGCATCTGAATCTTACCGAACGAGCAAATCAGACGTTGACACACATGATGAAGACAATGCTCACCATGGCAGGCTTGCCGAAGCCTCAGTTTTGGATGTATGCTTTGAAAATGGCTACATTTATTCGCAATCGGTCGTACTGTCAAGCTATCAAGGATACGCCGTATCGCTTGATGATGGACGCGAAACCGGATCTACATCGCCTGAAAAGATTTGGAGCAGTAGCCTACGTGCACCGGGCTAAGGACCCGTCGCGTGGAAAGCTAGATAACAACTGCCGTATTGGCTTTGTGGTCAGCTACCTGGAGGGCCAACCAGGGTATGAGGTCTATTTCCCAACGGAGAAGGTGGTGCAGCACGTCCTGCATGCGTCTGTCAACGAGGAAACTCTCTACGAGGACCGGTATCAGGAAGGCTACCCCAACAACGTCAAGAACTGGTTGTCATCGGTAGATGAAGAACAACGGAGCGGAGACGCACCTGGTAGTACGTACAGGAGCGCCATTGACAAACAGGATGTTGCTGCCGAGAAGGACAACAATTCGCCACCTGATTCGCCAAATTTGCCAGATGATGAGAAGATCGAGGAATTATCGCCTGCTGCGCACACTCACTATGACCCTATTGAGTCACCGAAGAGTGACCTTAGTGGGACTAAGGAGTGGATGAGTATGCCGATGTATACTGATTTCCTGAAATCGAGGGCAGATCAAGAAGTAAGTCGTGCTAGTGAAGACGAAACGATGTCACAGCCCGACGTCTCTTCTCAAATACCGGAAACGTCTCAAGATCTAACGGAAGTAACAGCTCAAGACGCTGGTCAACAAGCTGAAGATCATGTGAGTGGAGATAATGCCCCGGAGGAGAAGACTGAAGAGAGCGAAGATCTTAGCGGATCAGGCGAGCCTATGATCGATGATCCTGCTAATAGTGATGATGAGGCCATGGAGGTGGAACCCTCGCCGTCATCTGAGCTAGAGAGCCAAATGTGCGAAGAGCCTCATGATACTGATGAGCTCTTCGAACATGATGGTGATCCAGGTCAAGTTTCCAGTGAAGAATGCGAGAATCACAAGGGAGAAGGTAGTTCACCTGCTGAAAGTGATTGGACGCTGCATTCGCCGTGGGATAGACTGGATATAGTGGATGCCTACGACTGCGAGCATCTTGAGCGCTATGAAGCTCAGTATGCAACAGACCCTACTGAAGAGGATGCGGGAGATGTATTCGCACTGCGGCGTGAATCCACGGGACTTCAAGAAGAAGTGGATAACCAGATCATTGCAGTTGATGCCGGCAACGGAATGGACACTGTGATGGAGCCGGAAGTACTCACTGGTAATCTACGTTCTTCGCTGGAAGCTGAACTCGAAGATGTGCAAGAGCACAAGCGACTGAAAGACGCCGGAGGACAGCCCCAGCGAATGATCCTTCGATCGGAATCTGAGCGTCATGCGCCTTACCGTACCATCTCTATGCAAGCTTTTGCAGAAGAGAATCAGTCAAAGAATCAGATTTTTGGGCCTGAAGAAGATCGATGGCACATCAAGGATGTTAAGATACCTCGAAGCTTTCCAGAGGCTATGCGCTCGCCTCAAAGTCGTGAGTGGCTAGAGGGAATGGAGCGTGAGGTCAATGCAATGTTCAAGAAGGATGTTTTTGAGCTGATTGACGAGAGTGAGATGCCGGACGAGGCGCATCTACTGAGTATCATGTGGCGGATCCAAGCCAAAACGGATGATGAAGGATATGTTACACGATGGCGACCTCGCTTGGTCG